TCATATCCCAGCTCTCTATCCTCATATATCCAAGCTCCTTGTTCACATATCCAAGTTCCTCAACAACAGTCACACTACAACAGTCCTACAACACCTCACACTACAACAGTCCTGCAACACCTCACACTACAACAGTCCTGCAACACCTCACACTACAACAGTCCTGCAACACCTCACACTACAACAGTCCTACAACACCTCACACTACAACAGTCCTACAACACCTCACACTACAACAGTCCTGCAACACCTCACACTACAACAGTCCTGCAACACCTCACACTACAACAGTCCTGCAACACCTCACACTACAACAGTCCTACAACACCTCACACTACAACAGTCCTGCAACACCTCACACTACAACAGTCCTACAACACCTCACACTACAACAGTCCTACAACACCTCACACTACAACAGTCCTACAACACCTCACACTACAACAGTCCTACAACACCTCACACTACAACAGTCCTACAACACCTCACACTACAACAGTCCTACAACACCTCACACTACAACAGTCCTACAACACCTCACACTACAACAGTCCTACAACACCTCACACTACAACAGTCCTGCAACACCTCACACTACAACAGTCCTGCAACACCTCACACTACAACAGTCCTACAACACCTCACACTACAACAGTCCTGCAACACCTCACACTACAACAGTCCTACAACACCTCACACTCACACTACAACAGTCCTGCAACACCTCACACTACAACAGTCCTACAACACCTCACACTACAACAGTCCTACAACACCTCACACTACAACAGTCCTACACACCTCACACTCACACTACAACACCTCACACTACTACAACAACACCTCACACTACAACAGTCCTGCAACACCTCACACTACAACAGTCCTACAACACCTCACACTACAACAGTCCTACAACACCTCACACTACAACAGTCCTACAACACCTCACACTACAACAGTCCTGCAACACCTCACACTACAACAGTCCTACAACACCTCACACTACAACAGTCCTGCAACACCTCACACTACAACAGTCCTACAACACCTCACACTACAACACCTCACACCTCACACTACAACAGTCCTACAACACCTCACACTACAACAGTCCTACAACACCTCACACTACAACAGTCCTACAACACCTCACACTACAACAGTCCTACAACACCTCACACTACAACAGTCCTGCAACACCTCACACTACAACAGTCCTACAACACCTCACACTACAACAGTCCTGCAACACCTCACACTACAACAGTCCTACAACACCTCACACTACAACAGTCCTACAACACCTCACACTACAACAGTCCTACAACACCTCACACTACAACAGTCCTACAACACCTCACACTACAACAGTCCTACAACACCTCACACTACAACAGTCCTACAACACCTCACACTACAACACTACAACACCTCAGTCCTGCAACACCTCACACTACAACAGTCCTACAACACCTCACACTACAACAGTCCTACAACACCTCACACTACAACAGTCCTACAACACCTCACACTACAACAGTCCTACAACACCTCACACTACAACAGTCCTACAACACCTCACACTACAACAGTCCTACAACACCTCACACTACAACAGTCCTACAACACCTCACACTACAACAGTCCTACAACACCTCACACTACAACAGTCCTACAACACCTCACACTACAACAGTCCTACAACACCTCACACTACAACAGTCCTACAACACCTCACACTACAACAGTCCTACAACACCTCACACTACAACAGTCCTGCAACACCTCACACTACAACAGTCCTGCAACACCTCACACTACAACAGTCCTACAACACCTCACACTACAACAGTCCTACAACACCTCACACTACAACAGTCCTACAACACCTCACACTACAACAGTCCTACAACACCTCACACTACAACAGTCCTACAACACCTCACACTACAACAGTCCTACAACACCTCACACTACAACAGTCCTGCAACACCTCACACTACAACACCTCACACTGCAACACTTCACCCTACAACACCTCACACTGCAACAGTCCTACAACACCTCACACTACAACAGTCCTACAACACCTCACAACACCTCACACTACAACAGTCCTACAACACCTCACACTACAACAGTCCTACAACACCTCACTTGTTTCTCAGTCAGTATTGTCTCTTTACCTTCCTCCACACACTCGCTTGTTCCCTCTCTCTTCCTTCCCATCCCCCTCTTGTTTCCTCTGTCTCTTTGTCTCTACTACCCTCCATGTTCTTTCACCCCTCTATAACTCGAAACTCTTCCCTCTCACTGTCTTTACCTCTTCCATATCCCCCTCACCATTCGTCTTCCCCCCCTCCCTCTGATTCCTCTAGCTCCTGTATCTCCTCTACCTCCCTCATATCTACTTCTGTTCCTCTATCCTCTCACTCTTCCATTTCGCTTTAATCCCCCCCCCCTTCCAATATCCATCAACCCCCCCCCTCCCTCCCCCTTCCCCCCTTCGGAACGTCAACAGTGAATCAGGACAATCAGAACGCGTTGTCACTCAATGCACCACAATTTTCATGCTTTCAACACCAACGTGAAAATTGCGATGTCTAAATGAAATTATAAACACCGCAAAACTGACGCTTATTGGAAATGATCAGTCTCGGTCTGACTTACGTTCGGTGGATACGCTTCTGGTTAGGCAAAACCACTTCAAATTTGACGGAGGACAGGCGAATAGTCAATATCTTGCTTATGAATAATTGCATATGTGACATACTAAGTTATTGTGAATATTTGAGTTTACCTTGAAATGCTGAATAGAAAACCACAACCTAACCTAGCCTTCTTAGTATGTTAAGATATTACAATTAGTACTTAACCTATACCTATATTGATATTACAGTTTAATAAAAATAATAAAACAAAACTAAAATATTTAAAAAAAATTTAAAGTAACTTAGGATATTGTCAAATTTTGCATAAAATCTCTAGTGTTTAATAAAACTGAGAGGAAAAGTTAGTGCCTTGAAAAAAAAGATGGCTTGAAACAGTCACATATATACGTACTTATAAGCGAAATAGTGACTAGGCTCTAAGTCACATATGTGCTGTCTTGTGCGAGAGCGGGTTGGGCGGTGAGAATACGGGCCGGAGGAGCTCCGAGGCTTCTGATGGACGTTGATACAAAGCGACTAACCTCCAGAGGCCAGATTCACGAAACAGTTACGCAAGTACTTACGAACGTGTACATCTTTCCTCAATCTTTGACGGCTTTGGTTACATTTATTAAAACAGTTTACAAGCCTGAAAACTTCCCATCAACTGTTGTTATTGATATAAACAGCCTCCTGGTGCTTCGGAGCTCATTAACTGTTTAATAATTGTAAACAAAGCCGCCACAGATTGAAAAAGATGTACAGGATCGTAAGTGCTTGCGTAACTGCTTCGTGAATCTGGCCCCAGTACACCTCACGCATTTTTAACGGATTAGTCGATTCCGTAAAAAATGTGACGCAGATGAGATGACGGGTGCAGACTGGCTAGGGACGGGAGACCGGAACTATATCCAGTTAGCGCACTGTATAATTACAACCTTTCAGCTGACGGTGATGGATGGGTGCGTATCATGGGCGTATTTTTCTGGCATCTCTCAACTCCCTTATATCGAGTAGGGTCCAGGCGCGCTGCGTCATTGAGACTTTTTAGACCACTGTTTTACAACAGGTGTGCTGCGTCGCATCGGTGTGTCGCGAAGGGTTCACAGGTGTGTAGTGAAGGATTCACAGGTGTGTAGTGAAGGGACCACAGGTGTGTAGTGAACGATTCACAGGTGTGTAGTGAAGGGTTATCTTGAGATGATTTCGGGGCTTTAGTGCCCCGAAATCGGGGCTTTTTTCCTTCACCAGGCCTCCACCCCCTGGAAGCAGCCCGTGACAGCTGACTAACACCCAGGTACCTATTTACTGCTAGGTAACAGGGGTATAGGGTGAAAGAAACTCTGCCCATTGTTTCTCCCACAGGTGTGTAGCTGGAGTTTGGTATTAAAGTCGAAAACTAACGAAAGAAACTGAAGAATAAAGCAAATCGATGAGGTGAATTTTAGCGTTATATATTTTTCATTAATGGCCAGCACGTAACACGAGCGGTCCTCTGGCCGCACGTGGCACGAGCGGTCCTCTGGCCGCACATGGCACTAGCGGTCCTCTGGCAGCACGTGGCACGAGCGGTCCTCTGGCCGCATGTAGCACGAGCGGTCCTCTGGCAGCACGTGGCACGAGCGGTCCTTTGGCAGCACGTGGCACGAGCGGTCCTCTGGCCGCACGTGGCACTAGCGGTCCTCTGGCAGCAGGTGGCACGAGCGGTCCTCTGGCCGCACGTGGCACTAGCGGTCCTCTGGCCGCACGTGGCACTAGCGGTCCTCTGGCAGCACGTGGCACGAGCGGTCCTCTGGCCGCATGTAGCACGAGCGGTCCTTTGGCAGCACGTGGCACGAGCGGTCCTCTGGCCGCACGTGGCACGAGCGGTCCTCTGGCCGCACGTGGCACGAGCGGTCCTCTGGCCGCACGTGGCACTAGCGGTCCTCTGGCCGCACGTGGCACGAGCGGTCCTCTGACAGCACGTGGCACTAGCGGTCCTCTGGCCGCACGTGGCACTAGCGGTCCTCTGCCGCCCGTAGCACGAGCGGTCCTCTGGCCGCACGTGGCACGAGCGGTCCTCTGGCCGCACGTGGCACTAGCGGTCCTCTGGCCGCACGTGGCACGAGCGGTCCTCTGGCAGCACGTGGCACGAGCGGTCCTCTGGCCGCACGTGGCACTAGCGGTCCTCTGGCCGCACGTGGCACTAGCGGTCCTCTGCCGCCCGTAGCACGAGCGGTCCTCTGGCCGCACGTGGCACGAGCGGTCCTCTGGCCGCACGTGGCACTAGCGGTCCTCTGGCCGCACGTGGCACGAGCGGTCCTCTGGCAGCACGTGGCACGAGCGGTCCTCTGGCCGCACGTGGCACTAGCGGTCCTCTGGCCGCACGAGGCACGAGCGGTCCTCTGGCTGCACGTAGCACGAGCGGTCCTCTGGCCGCCCGAGGCACGAGCGGTTCTCAGGCCGCCCGTAGCACGAGCGGTTCTCAGGCCGCACGAGGCACGAGCGGTCCTCTGGCCGCACGTGGCACGAGCGGTCCTCTGGCCGCCCGTAGCACGAGCGGTCCTCTGGCCGCCCGTAGCACGAGCGGTCCTCTGGCCGCCCGTAGCACGAGCGGTCCTCTGGCCGCCCGTGGCACGAGCGGTCCTCTGGCAGCACGTGGCACGAGCGGTCCTCTGGCCGCCCGTAGCATGAGCGGTCCTCTGGCCGCACGTAGCACGAGCGGTCCTCTGGCCGCCCGTAGCACGAGCGGTCCTCTGGCCGCACGTAGCACGAACGGTCCTCTGGCCGCACGTAGCACGAGCGGTCCTCTGGCCGCCCGTAGCACGAGCGGTCCTCTGGCCGCCCGTAGCACGAACGGTTCCCTGGCCGCACGTGGCACGAACGGTTCCCTGGCCGCACGTAGCACGAACGGTTCCCTGGCCGAGCTCGTGCAAGCAGCCACCGACACCAAAGACTCATTCGTCAATTTTAGCGTACTGTGTATTCAAGTTCGATTTTGTCTTAGATATAAATACGCATTTTTAAATATTGGAATTTGGCGTATAGTTGGGCCAAAGTTAGGTTAGGTGTTGTTGTTTTTGTTGATTTAAGGACGATGACGATAGAGGGGTTAGGTGCTTAGTTTCTGTGGGGAATTATTTATATTTTTAGTAGGTGGGCGAAGCGTTTGGACACTGCGTCTGTCTTCAGTCACCTGTTGGACAGGTCTGGCAGCCCCTCCTACAAACAAACACACAAAAGTGATTCCATGCACCCTCCAAACTTCCCTGTTTATGAATGACCAACCCGTCCTCAGACCAAGTCCATTCCATCCAACGGTCGAGCCCCAAGACGCATTCATCAATTTTAACATGCTGTTTATTCAAAACAGGAATTTTCTCAAATATAAATGAATATTATGTTATATTAGCATATTGTGCATATATAGGCATAGGTTAGGTTAAGTGTTTAGGTTCTGTTGGCGATAATTTGTATTTGTAGTACGTGAGTGAAAGCATTTACAGCGTTGTGGTTCGAACTAAAGTCAGTGAAGCACTATTATATATTATATATATATATATATATATATATATATATATATATATATATATATATATATATATATATATATATATATATATATATATATATATATATATATATATATATATATATATATATATATTTTTTTTTTTTTTTTTTTTTTTTTATAAGGAATAGAGTACCACCTCTGGCTGGAAGAAGGGGGACCCATAGCCTCGGAGGAAACCACACATAACGCATTGGAGGGAATGTGGGTCCCCTCCAATACAGTTTCTGTGTGCTTTTCTCCTACCACCCCCTTCCCTTTTTTTTTTTCCTTTATTGTGTATTTAAAGGTTACAAAACATACAAGACAAATGCCTAAAGGTTATGGATCTCTTGAAGCTCCTCCGCTTCTGGACAGGAACCGAGGACGCAGCAAGCATTTCCCCTCTGGATCGCCACACTGAGACGCTGAAATAAAAAACTGGAAGCCCTTGGGTCTCTGGTGACGTCAATGAGCTTGGAACCCAATTCCTTGAGAAATCCCAAGGCACTCTTGCCCCAGGGGCCATGCGTCTCAGACGCTATGGGAACAAAGAGGTATTGACCTTCCAGTCGCCTGTACTTGAGTGATTTTGCTGTTTCCCTGTGGTTGGCCGCCCCACCTGCTTGATCAGCTCCGAAGTGTACATAGGTGTCAGCCAGGGTGGATACACATGTGTAGTCCCACACCAACTGTCTACCCTCCTTCCATGGGTATATGGTGATGCCATCAGGGCGAAGTGCGGGGAAATCCGGGTTTTGGACCCCTAGGATGCGAGGTTCTCTCTCCGCTGGGCACCCAGCTGAGACGAGGCTTCTCTTGATGATGTCATTGACCTCGTTGTGTCTTGCATGCCAGCCCTTTGTGCTTCCGCAATGCAACCCATGCAGTCCGTATTGGTCTGCTTCCACCCTGTTGCAAATACACTTGTATTCAGTGTGAATTGGGGCACCAAGGCGGAGGGCCACTGCTACACGAAGGGATTCTGGATCTAGGCGCGTGCCCATTGCAGACATGGGTACTGCCAGGAGGAAGTCTCCTGCATGGGGGGCACGCACTGCTCTGAGGCGGGCTTTCTCCTTGTCTGATGTTGCGACGCTTAGCATGGCATCAGCTACTTTTTCCACTAGAGGGTGGTCCCAGCCGGACTGTTTGTGTTGTTTTGTTGGCTCTATAATGGTTGCTGGGGCTGCAAGAACATTCCACTGATTTGAACATTCAGTGAAAGCAGGATCGTGTATTCCTGCTGAATCTCTCAGGGTTGCAGGTAAAATATCTCTGACGAGGTCGTGCGATGCATGAGAGGAGGAAAGGAAGGCTGGTAGAGCAATTTGGGAGGCTGTGCGGACACCAAGGCCGCCGAGTCTTACAGGAAGGGTTGCTTGCTCCCACTGAGAGTCGTCCAATGGCAGGTTCAGGACTTTCACCAGCATGGACCTCAGAAGGGTGTCATACACATTTAACTTAGGGCTGCTGTAGGATGGAGAACATCTCAGAAAGTAGGTCAACTTAGGGAGAGACAGGCATCTTGTAAGGAGAAAGAGAGCATCATGGACAGCCAGAACGCAATCTTGTCAATCCTGTCCTGCAGTTCTCTTTAGGTCAGTGATTTTTTGCTTATGAAATGATAAAGCTACCCCTCGATTGCTCGTGGGCCAATTTTTTTTATTGGCACCCAAATTAAGAGTGCATGTCCGGTGGCTCGACAATAACCTAACCTGTCTGGAAGAACAGGTTAGGTATTTGCCCAGTGATGTCTGAGGTTTAGGTAGGTTAGATTAGTGGCTGATATATATATATATATTTTATTAAATATGACCGAAAAAGTAAGATTAATAATTCTAACACGAATTTTCTCAATCTTTCGTACATTATGCTTCACTGTTGGAGGTAAATCAAAAATCACTTCTCCAAAATTCATTTTTATTTCTAGTCTGACGCGACACGGGCGCGTTTCGTAAAACTTATTACATTTTCAAAGACTTCACAAATACACAACTGATTAGAACTTGCATTTCCCTGATTTTATATCTACTTTTGAGTGAGGTGGGAAGGGTGATGTGGCATTACATTTGAGTGAGGTGGGAAGGATGATGTGGCATTAGAGGATATTAATAGGGTATTAAAAGTATCAACACAAGACAGAACACGAAACAATGGATATTGAATAGAAGTGTTTGTAGAAAGCCTATTGGTCCATATTTCTTGATGCTTCTATATTGGAGCGGAGTCTTGAGGTGGGTAGAATATAGTTGTGCAATAATTGGCTGTTGATTGCTGGTGTTGACTTCTTGATGTGTAGTGCCTCGCAAACGTCAAGCCGCCTGCTATCGCTGTATCTATCGATGATTTCTGTGTTGTTTACTAGGATTTCTCTGGCGATGGTTTGGTTATGGGAAGAGATTATATGTTCCTTAATGGAGCCCTGTTGTTTATGCATCGTTAAACGCCTAGAAAGAGATGTTGTTGTCTTGCCTATATACTGGGTTTTTTGGAGCTTACAGTCCCCAAGTGGGCATTTGAAGGCATAGACGACGTTAGTCTCTTTTAAAGCGTTCTGTTTCGTGTCTGGAGAGTTTCTCATGAGTAGGCTGGCCGTTTTTCTGGTTTTATAGTAAATCGTCAGTTGTATCCTCTGATTTTTGTCTGTAGGGATAACGTTTCTATTAACAATATCTTTCAGGACCCTTTCCTCTGTTTTATGAGCTGTGGAAAAGAAGTTCCTGTAAAATAGTCTAATAGGGGGTATAGGTGTTGTGTTAGTTGTCTCTTCAGAGGTTGCATGGCTTTTCACTTTCCTTCTTATGATGTCTTCGATGAAACCATTGGAGAAGCCGTTATTGACTAGAACCTGCCTTACCCTACAGAGTTCTTCGTCGACTTGCTTCCATTCTGAGCTGTGGCTGAGAGCACGGTCGACGTATGCGTTAACAACACTCCTCTTGTACCTGTCAGGGCAGTCGCTGTTGGCATTTAGGCACATTCCTATGTTTGTTTCCTTTGTGTAGACTGCAGTGTGGAAACCTCCGCCCTTTTCCATGACTGTTACATCTAGAAAAGGCAGCTTCCCATCCTTTTCCGTCTCGTAAGTGAAACGCAGCACGGAACTCTGCTCAAATGCCTCCTTCAGCTCCTGCAGATGTCTGACATCAGGTACCTGTGTAAAAATGTCGTCAACATACCTGCAGTATATGGCCGGTTTCAAGTTCATGTCGACTAAGACTTTTTGCTCGATGGTACCCATGTAGAAGTTTGCAAACAGGACACCTAGGGGAGAACCCATAGCGACCCCATCTACTTGCTTATACATGTGCCCATCCGGGCTCAAGAAGGGTGCCTCTTTAGTACAAGCTTGGAGTAGTTTCCTCAGAATACTTTCTGGCATGTCAAGAGGAGTACAGGCTGGATCACGATACACTCTGTCGGCTATCATTCCGATTGTCTCGTCCACAGGTACGTTGGTAAACAGCGATTCTACGTCCAACGAGGCTCTTATCCCTGTGGCCCGTGCGCCCCGCAGTAAGTCCACAAATTCCTTTGGAGACTTCAGGCTGAAGGCGCAAGGAACATAAGGAGTCAGCAGGCCGTTGAGTCGCTTTGCCAATCTGTACGTGGGTGTGGGTATCTGGCTAATGATTGGCCGAAGTGGGTTTCCAGGCTTGTGCGTCTTGACATTTCCATACGCATATCCAGGTTTATATTCCCCAATGATCTTTGGCAGGTGGAGTCCGGATTTCTTGGCGTTCACAGTTTCGATCAGTTTGTTGACCTTTGCTTTTAATTCGGCTGTAGTGTCCTTCGTTACCCTTTGGAACTTAGTTTGGTCAGAGAGTATGATGTTCATTTTCGCCAGATATTCGTCTTTTTTAAGAATGACATATATTGGCGACTTGTCACCTCTCCTGACAACTATCTCCTTGTTCTCACGAAGGCTTTTAGCTGCCGCTCTAAGCTCGGGGGACAGTATGGTGCTTCTGTAGTTGCCTCGATTCTTTCCTCCTTCTGCAATAAGTTCTGCTTGTAAGGTATCTTTGGTAGTGACCTTCTTTTGTGTCTCGAGGTCGAATATGTCGTCCAACAGAATTTCCAACTCCACTTTCCGGGCCATTTCACTCGGTCTGGACATAACATGACAGTTTATGCCCAGATTTAGGAGAGTGACTTGGTCCTCAGTGAGGTTAATTCCTGCAAGGTTCAGGAAGCCATCTCTTGGTCGTGGAATTGCCATAGGTCCTCCATATAATGTTGTTAGTTTCTTGATAATCCTTGTTTCAGTGCTGAGGTGATGTTGGTCTGTGAGGATGTCGAGGTGTTGTTCAATGCGGGTACGGATACTATGGTCGATGTTGCTATTTCTCCACTCGTTTGTAGCATGAAGTAGTTGCGTTTTTTTGTCTTTGATTTCATTCTC